GATGTTGAGGAATTGATAAATAAAATAAAGAAAGGAATATGGAGAACATCTTGCATGCAAAAAAGTACAGGAGGTGTCTAGAGAGTAGTGTACATTGATCTGCATGAACGAGAGTGGGTCCAAAAATCATAGGAAATGGACAAAAGATAGCGGTTTTGAAGGGGATATTGAATATTGTGGGCGCTGCTTGCTTATTTGTGTGCTTATGTCTTTGTTATCTGAACTACGTATGCATCCCTTTTCACAAGACTCGTGTCACGTCCATTCCTATTTCGCTATTTCCGTCACCATCATCTCCTTTTAGCCATCGACCCCCACTTTCATCATTTTTCATTTATCCAACCTCATCAATCACTAATGTCATATTTAACCCACTTAACATCTCAATAATTCACATCTCGCATGCTTAATAATCCTCTAAAGCTATCGAACCATCCGTAATTATTAGTTTCATTTTCTTCTTTAATCATTTGTTGGAAAACTAAAATGCATATTCAAAAAAGGATAAGGTAATTTTGCCCCTTTTTTTGTACCAAATTAAGAATTTCCCCATCGTTAAATGTTTAAATAACTTTATTATTTATGAATTGTGTCAGTTTTTACTAGTTTATAAAATTATAGATTTACCATCACTTGTTTAACTCCGAGTGAATTTATTGATTTCTTTTTTTCCTTTATAACTGATGCAGGCGGATGAAAAAAAACAAAAATAAAAATGTTAATGCATGCAAAGAAAAATTATAGAATGCGGAGTACTGGTGAATAACAGAGCCTCTAAGTGTAGAAATAGACGAGTTTTGATAATGTTAAGAGGAAAATTGAGCAAAAATGACAGCAGATACGAATTTTGGTAATGTGAAAAAAGAGAGTAAAAGGGACAGATACATAAGGTGTCTGGTGTGGTGCCAAATGAGGAGCAAATTAATGTGGCAAAACATGCCAAGTTAATTAACTAGAGCTGAATGATTTAATTATTGGAAGATGGAAAAATTAAAGTTATTAAATATTCAAGAATTAAGTGGCTAAATGAGGGTGACACGTATTCAAAATGTACTCAACTATATTAGACCCATTTTAATCTTTGAACAAATAAAACTTATTAAATAGTTTTTCTTAATGGATAATTTAGCCTTTTTATTAATTTTTTAACTTAATAAATTACTTACATATATTAACTAGTTAAAATAATTTATAATTTATTGCCTTGGTGTTGAAAAGCAGTTTCCCTAACGGTCTTTACAGAGCACCGTACTCTGTGTATGCCTGCATTTTTTTTCTCTTTATTAAAAGTAGGCCTTGTTAAGGTGCTTCTTAAAGGTACTGATAATTTAAAAATTCTTTAACAAAATTTTAATTATTAATAAATAATATTAAACATTTTTATGTGATAAATACTTACTTTTATTTTTTAACCAATAGTACTTTCAAGATGCTATTTAATTAACTTTTGTCTTAAAAATATAGGAATGCTATGATGGAGAATGTCATGTATGTGGGCTGGTTTATATATCTGAATGATGTGTAATGAAATTATGTAAATCACTATGTGTTTTTTTTATTCTTAAATCATAATCGATATTCATCGTAATGACTTAAGATATTAATTTTAATTAAAAAATACTAATAATATTATATTATTAAATTTAAGTTTTATCTTTTTTGAAAATAGTATTTATTTAAAACTTGTTTAATTTAAGCTCTTCTCTCTAGATATTATTTGGTATATGAATGTTAATAATATTTTTAATACACTTATTATTAACTTAAATCTATTGATATTTATGAAATGACGTAAATCACATTTCTTATTTTATAAGTCTTATTTATAATCTTGCTTATCTAATAATAGTGTTTAAAAGTGTGTAATATGTTATTAGTATTTCTTGTATTTTTTATAAAATTGTTTGAAAAATGTTCTTGCCAATATATTGAAAAGCTTCAGTGTGGAGGTTTGCATGGTACTCTTAATAGTATCTCCTTACAGGGCATTGCTTTTGGGCAAAAGGTTAACAATGGATATGACTTTTAATTATATTTTTTTATAAATTTTAATATCACAACAATCATTGATTTATTATTTCAGAAGAACAAAAATAAAATACATCTAATATTAACTTTGAAATTTTATCAAAATTGTATTTATCTTCGAAATAAAAAATTTATAATAAATATTTAAACATACGTAGTAATTATATCCAATTATCATGAGAGGAAAATCTCTAATAATTATTTTTATTAAGACACGCATATTAATAATTTTTATTACTTTAAGGATGGAAGGATTGCGCTTTCATATGCTTCCAATCATGAACATTACATGGTTACTGTTTTTCTATTGTATTAGCACGAATGAAACTGGAATTAAACTCTCTCTCTTGATGGTATATATACATGTGTGTGTGTTATATGATGTTTAAAACAATACAAAAGATGTGACAACATTCAATTGTTGAAATGTTGTTTTAAAATCGAGGTTGTGTATTATGTTCAAATTTAGAATATTGGTTGTTAAATTTTTCATGTCGCTGTAATACATGAAATATACTTTTTATTAAGTTATGGGTTGCATCTAGTCTTGTTAACTCAAATATTTTTACATTCAACCTTTAAAATTTTATCCGTTATTAAAGAAAGTCCTTATGAAAAATAATTTAACTATTTTTTTATTATATAATTTAACTTTTATGCATTAAATTTATAATTAAAAATTCTTTAATATGTTTTTAATGTATAAATGGCTCCCACTTGCATGTCGAAAGAAAAAAAAAAAGTGCATAAATCATCTAAATCTATAATAGAAAAGAAATTATCAAGCAAAATAAGTATTTTAGTGGTAATAATGAAGGGTAAGAATAATTAATAGCATTTTCTTTTAGTTATTTCAACTTAGCCACAATGAATTCACTATAACAAAAAGAATAAACATCAAGCGTAAAAGTGAGATAAACACAGCCTTCACAATTCGCATCTTTCCATGGAAAGAACCGATACAATAATGCCCCTCACAAACCAATTCAGGGTCTAAAAGAAGGACTAGTCCATAATGTGATATCAGACATTCAGAACTGATGAATTGCTTTCAACCAAGAATGCAGACTCTGGGCTGCATGATCACTGTTCACATTAAATGCACATCAATGATCATCAGCTACGACCCAATTCTCCTTCTCCTTCCACCATTGTTTTCTAACATGTCTACCACCCAACAAAGCACAAAATATTGAATTGCCATTACATTTACGCAATAAAAAATCAGTGGTGGGCCTAGACACAATTTTGGTGCATCATAGCTGATTTTGACAGATGAGCAATTTTAACTTTATATGACAACCTATGTAGTTCATAATAGTCTGGACCCAAATCAGAGATCAACTGGTGAAATATGAACATGTAATTTGCTTATTGACAAAATAGGATATAATATCATTCATTTGAGAAAGCAATTTGGTCACCTAATCTGGATGTGAATGTGCTAAGTAATAAACAAGTTAATTTACCTAGCATCCTTATTAGATCTTTAAGCGTGGGTTTGATCGAATAACAAGGGATAGAATAGAGTTAAACATGAGCAACCTAGTCTTAAAAAATTGACTATTTAATTTTTACGATTTTTTTGCTTATATATTTTTTAATTTATTATTAACTCACATTTTTTTAAGTTAAAAAGCTCATGATTTAATGAACATGGTTTTGCTCATTACCATGTTCTCACTCTGAACTGTATCGTGATTTCACAAAATCCAGACCCATGCATGCTTGTTGTATGTATAAGTTGTCGTGTAGTAGTGAGTAGCAGTACTTCTAGTTCTACCAACGTGATCACACACTTCATCTCTGCCTCGGGGAGTGGGTGAAAATTGTTGAACATTGAAGATTTTCAAGTGAAAATTTCTGAACCTTGTAAACTTATGTTGGACCTACATAGTTCAAAAGGCCAGATTTCCGTACCACACTTGAAATTTTATCAGCTAAGCCTGAAATAAGCTTTACGGTGCAATGAATGATTGGAACCATGTATTTTTATACCGTGTGAGGATACACATAATAAAATTAGCTCTAGATATAAATTTTAACTGATTAAAGAAACCACTAAATGTGGTAAAAGAAAAAGACAATTTTTTTATTCTTTCCTCTTTAAAGATATAAAATTTATAAAATAAATGAAAACAAAACAAAAAAGACTCAAATCAATAAATTTCTTTCCTAAAAATATATTTATGCTAAAACTTGGCCCACTTTTAATTTAGTCCCCGGCTAAAATTTAAGGAAAAAACAGGCTGGCATGGAAGGAAACTGATCAACAAGGAGAAATTTAAAAAAAAAGGCATGCAACGGTTGTTAATGAAATGAGCAATGTTCCAAATTATCACATTTCTAAGTAGTGCATACATAGCATTTTAAAAATTCTATAGAATAATCAAAATTATTGACTATTGTGTATCAGGTGGAGTCTAAACTTTAAAGCATCATGGGAAGGAGAGATGAATTATTTTCTTTTTGAACATGAAAGAGTGAGGGGTTGCATTAAAAATGGAAGAAGTACCTGACAATCTATGATGCTAATTCCACCCATTTTCGTTAAAGACAGAATTGTGGGTCAAAGTTTTCAAGGAATGGGAATTAAATACAAATTCTGTCTGGGTGATTATTTCGGTGAAAAGGACATTAATTCACCTTGAGAGTGAGAGAGAAAAGAGAAAGAAAGAAAGAGAAAGAGATTCCATTTTAATCCGAGGCTACCTCTAGGTGCTATTTCACTAGACTTTTCACTGTAATACATTCTGTAATGATAGGTGTTTGATGAAGAATGGACCCTCTTTTAGGCTATAACATATTACACTATTATTTAAACTAACTCTTCCCTTTTGCTTCAACTTCATCTTATCAAGCCTTCTCTATTTGCCTATTCTTTTCACAATTCACTTCCATTCTAGACACTAGGGAAGAGGAATAGAGAGAGAGAGAGAGAGAGAGAGAGAGAGAAAGAAAGAAGAACAAGGATGGAGCTTTCTCAACTTGGTTTTCTTGATGAACTACTTGCTCCGAGAAAAGACACTTGGAATGCTTTGTCCACTGGCTTGAATGAGTTACTTCCCAGTGGTTGGAGCTTTGACTCTTTTGATGAGAACCAAAGTTTAGCAACTTTGAATCCATCATTTGCTGCATTTTCGACTCCAATAGACCAAAGATTTGAATGTCCTTATGGAAGTGAAACAGCATACCCTTTTGTTGATGGCTTCACATTGCCAGAGCTTGATTCATCATACACTAGGAATGATGAGTCTGCACCACTTTTACCTCAAGAAGATAATCCCTCAATGGAGGATGAAGAGTTTGGCTTTCTGGGTAGCGATAACATGAATTTGGAACAAACAAAAAGTGGCTGCAAAATTGAGGAACAAGTGACAGAGATTCCGGTCTTCAACATGGGCATGTGTGGAGAGAAAAGGCCCAAATCCAAGAAACTAGAAGGGCAGCCTTCAAAGAATCTCATGGCAGAAAGAAGGAGAAGAAAGCGTTTGAATGATCGCCTTTCCATGCTGAGGTCAATAGTCCCTAAGATCAGCAAGGTAACTCAAAAGATATAATATAATGTTTTCTTTTTTTTCTTTTACATCATTCTCACCTTGTCATATGGTATCCTTTTTATGAATGTCTCAATCAATAGAAATCAAATTGGCTTTCTCCAGTAGGTGGTCTTTTCATGATTATTTTTTACCAACACTTGCATTTGTTGTTTGATTTGATCTTAACCTTTGAACTAACATGATAATACAAACTTGACAGATGGACAGGACCTCCATTCTTGGAGATACCATTGATTACATGAAAGAGCTTCTAGAAAGGATAGGTAAGTTGCAAGAAGAAGAGATGGAGGAGGGAACTAATCAGATAAACCTTTTGGGCATTTCTAAGGAGCTGAAGCCAAATGAAGTAATGGTAAGAAATTCCCCCAAGGTATGGTTTAGTTCTAGTTACTCAGTCAAACCCCAGAAGTAACCGATGCATAATGTTTTTACATTAAAAATATGTGCTATAATGGTTTTGCAGTTTGATGTTGAGAGAAGAGACCAAGACACAAGGATCAGCATCTGCTGTGCCACAAAGCCAGGATTACTGCTGTCAACAGTGAACACCTTAGAAGCATTAGGCCTTGAGATTCACCAGTGTGTTATAAGCAGTTTCAATGATTTTTCAATGCAAGCATCTTGCTCAGAGGTTTATAACATATTTAAGTGGCCTCAACATTTGTTACATATTTGAAATAAAGCATTTTAGTTCCCTGTTTTAACCTATTGTTCTCATGGTCTTAGGCAGTAGAGCAGACAAATTGTATGAGCCCGGAAGATATAAAGCAAGCACTATTCAGAAATGCAGGTTATGGTGGAAGATGTCTCTAGGAGAAAGATGGAAAACTGATATAAAAATTTGCAGATGGTGAAAAAGAAGCAAAGTTTTCCTCTTGTGTAATTCAAGGAACTAGGGTGTTAAAAAGTTTTAATGAGATTCCAAATAAGTTGGCCTTTGATGCTTCAATTCTAACAGCTTCACCCTGTATTCTAACATACAGTGGGGTATATTTAGTTCAAGCTTCACTTTCTCTTTGTGATAAAAATCCATTATTTTTAGTAGTAATCTATAATGAAGAACGGTTGTTGCCAAACCCACAAGTGGAATCAACCTGATTTTTAATAGATTCCTGAATATGCGGTTGCATCAAAATTTCTTTACTCGGACATTATTATACAAATAATTGTGTCATCTGTATCCTGTGGCTGTGGTAACACAACAAGTGGATGATACACTTTTAAAAGGATTCTGGTGTGTCAGATATCAAACACTTTATGAGAAGTAAGGTAGCTAAGTTGCATAACAACCACTTATAAAATGAATTATCGACATGATGCTTTATGATTTCTCAATAATTGCAAGTAGCCCCCTCCAAGGACCAACTAGAATGTTAAGTTGTATATATCGGCTCCTTTCTATTTAAAGCATTACTATTGAAATGAAATGAATATGATCCTCTTTATTTCCAGACAAGGAAAGTTACAGCTTAGTGCCTTTTGAAGTGCTAAACTTAACTGCTAACTGAAGGTAACTGCAGAATTCTAATTGATCCTGATTAGTCACAAGTACAACAACAATGATGAGCCAAGATTAGTCACTTGAAAAACTATTCATCATGTTACCAAAAAAGATTAAATAGAAAAAAACTACTCATCAATGAATCACATAAGGTTTAATTCCATAGCTTACCAAATGACAAGAAATATGGCTAATTTGGTTTTTTATTTGTTATGACTCTAATGCTGAGTCAACCCTAAAGCAAAGCACTGCGACTGTGAGTCATAATGTCAACACAAAATAGAGAACCATGCAATCTTAGCCATGAAAGGCAAACCCCTTGACTAAAAAGTGAAAATTAGGCTTGCTTTTCATGTTTGATTTGGTTCTTTTCTTTTGCTTATAGTATAAGGTATTATTTCCCACATTACCATGTTAGATGTTTGCATGTTGCATCATTGAGAAAAGTCCGTGATCAAATAATCTATTTTCACTGATTGAAATACGAGTTAACTTTAGATGTAAATAGAATTCAACATCACATTGATGTTCAACATGGAACAGACCATTTTTTTTTTTTTCATTTTCAGCAGAGTCTAGTTCAGCTCATTTTAGAAAAACAATTATTAGTTTTTAAATTTTAAAAATATTTTTTAAAGAAAAACGATTATTTCTTAAAATAAATGTTACCAAAACATGAGGAGAAAATATAACTTAAAAAATAGTGGGACCAAAAATATTCTCTTAACCTATTTGGCAACTTGTTACAACAGACAAGCAAGGATAGTTTCCAAAAAAAATTAAATACCAAACCGTTTTTGTACAGAGTCTACAAACTTCAAGATTTGCAGTTCAAATCAAGTTAATATATTATTATGTTCACATCAACATAATCATATGTGAGTTACAAATATCGACAAGGTAAAAGACATGAAACGGATATAGTCAAACGGATTCCAACTAGTAAAAATATAATTGGTAAAGATAAAATATTTCTGTCACAAATGATATAAAAGTTTAAAAAATCATAAACAACGCTTTTATTCTTCCGCTTAAGCAATTTTGATTCTTTGGAAATAAAGATTAAGTAATGCGTCAGCCGGGAGTCGAACCCGGATCTATTGCTTGGAAGGCAATTATCCTAACCGTTGGACTACTGACGCAGTGGACATTAGAGAGAGTTATAAATCATACAATGTCAGGAATTGATAATTATTTATATAATATTTTTTCGTATAATTTGATTATAAAGGAAATTTTCTAAAACGCGAGGGAATTTAGACTTAGAAAACGAATGAAAGCAAAAAAGGAAATCTTACTTAAGATAACGACCCTAAATTTATTCACAGTGAACTGAAGTATAAGATTAAGCACGTACAAATTAATATAATATACTTTTTTAAGAAACCTATACAGTTGCAGCTGGAATCGAAGCACCGGGAAGTTTGGATCTCTTCTTTTAGTGGCCTATACTTTGTGGGTTAGGACCCCAAACTACTGTTGCAAACGGACTGTGATGGGAGTTGGTGGACATAAGAATTGGTGGCCCGGCCTACAAGTTTTGACAACTTTTTTCTAATCACGTCACCCTTTTTTCTGAAAATAAAAATCTGAAATGTTATGTCAATTTTAAAAATTAAATTTCAAAAGCCACTTTTAAATTTTTTTAATTTCCATAAAAGTAGTGAAAAACAACCTCCAAAAGTTTTTAAATCAATTGCTGCTTTTACCTATGGAAAAAGCCTATGACCAAAACCCAAAAGAAACAAAAAATTTCATACATGAGCAGTGTCCAAAATTAAATCAATTGAAAGTTAAAAAAAGAAAGTATTAAGATAACTCTAGCACAAGCTTTGATCTCCTTCTTTATTATTTTTTTGATACACCTTAAACTTTTAATTAGTTGTGTTTATAAATACCAGTGTTCACGGATCTACAACCCATCACCAGTGCCATTTATCATAGTTGTCAGAACCCAATCGGACTAATCAGTCTAATGAGGATGATAATTTACGACCATTCATTCAACCTGTCCAATGGACCCTGACACAAGAATTGGCTTGTTGCTTTATAATTTCTCAATAATTGTAAGATGTGATAGTCCGGTTGAAGGAACATCTAGAATGTGAATTAGTATGTCAGTTTCCTACTATTACAGCATCGCTATATGTCAGCATGATTTTTTATCATATGATCTATTGCAACCACTATTAAAGCAGCTATATGCAAAGTGGTATAGAAAGAGCTTATTATTAAAAGATAATCGAAGCAGCTCTCGCCCATTGTGATATACATTTCAAGCTAAGTACCTACTACCTAGACAAATACAAAACCATTATTCAAATAAAACCCAATTTAAATGTATAGCATCTAGAAATATGAGCTGGGAGCCTTGGATGGGTCTGGAACAGAAATCATTGCCAGAACATTATGGAAGTATGGAGCAAAAATGAAATTGAATTGCTCATTTTCATAAACTACAAAAAATACTAACAAACTAGGATTTATGAAGAGTTAGATTGTGACTAGGCTACAGTGTCTAAAACTTTAAGTCAGACTATACATGCAATTAGTCAATTAGCTCGAGAAAATCTATTGACTTTCATAATCCAATCCAATTTCATCATCATTGTCTTCATCAGAACTACAAGTGTTGCCCACGAAATTGACTTGCGACTGCTGAAACTTATTGATAGCATCTCTAGCTTCAGAAACCAAGGCAACTTTTGCAGCTTTAACCACATCCCTTTTCTGGATGCTGTTTCCTTCTATCATTTTCCCAGTTTGTAAAGAGGCTGCTCTTCTCTTAGCTTCCCTGCAGCGCAATTGATTGATATATTTCTCATGTAGTACCTTGTTCTTTACATGCTTTAGTACTGGGGGGCTAACAAGATCTGCTACACTCGAGGAACTTAATCTTGAAAGGGGCTTCTTATGACTTGAAGATGATGATTTTTCAGAGCAACTTTGTAGGAACCCTTTGTTTTCCTTTTGCTGCTTTGGAGTATAAAGTATTTCACTAGGCTGTACTGCATTAGTAGAAAAATCAATGTTTGGTTCAAGAACAGAAAAAATGTCCCCTTCACGGTCCTGATCAACTTTAAGATGGCACTGTAACAGCTTCTCTACAGACTTCTGGGTGATAATGTTCTTTGGTTTTAGCACTTTTGATCTTCTAACCATTTCATCGATAGGTTTGAGCAGTTTACTTGCAGATATTGAGAATTGATGAAGGGGTGATGACTTCAATGTCTTCGCCCTTGACCGAGGCTGAGATTGACGCGGTGTTATATGGTCACGGTGAATTCTATCAAAGCAATCTTGTTGAGACTTTCCAGGCACCTGTAATAGATTTTGTATGGAAATGATTCAGTGAATACAAGTAATTGACTACCAAAAGATTATAAAATCACATTTGTCCTTTAAGAGATATATACATGCAGAAAAGTAATATTTTCAATAACAAATCCTTTAATGTGTGGACATCTAATGGTAAGTAAGTGAAATGGAATTGAATGAGATAGAAAGAAGTGAAATGAAATGATATAAATCAGTGGAATAGAAAGAATAAAGTTATCATTTCATATTTAAGGGGAAGATACAGAGAAATATTGAATAGAATGGAATAGAATTAGGTTCCATTCTATTCCATCCTATTTTAAATCATACAAAAAATCGAACCTAAGTAGCATTCCATCCATTCCACTTTATTTCATTCCACCAATCCAATCAAAAACAATTATCAACATTTGACCTGTCATAGAACATGCAATTTCTCAAGTGTGACTTCTAGTTCTAGCATCATGTTTATTTTCTAACATTTGAAAAGGCAACCAAACCAAGGCAGAAAGAAGACAACCACCAACCAGGGTTAAATTGCAACAACATTCTCTACCTTAGTTCCCAATTGAAGTCAACCCAAGTCAACATTTTCTAATTTCTACTATTATTACCCTAAGCGTGACGCTCAGAGAGATAGAGAGAGAATGAAACATATACCAGCTTAGAAACGTTCTTCCAGAAATGGGGGCTAGGCTTAGTAGCAAAATACGCTCTTTGCAAAGCCAATTCTTCTTCCTTTGTCCATCCTTTCGCAATCTCTTCGCCATCGCGCTTTCTCTTCACTCCCATTTCAACCCTCTCTTCATTTTTCGCCTTTGTTCCTCCACCTTCAATCACAAACCCCTCATCCGAAAAAACACGATTTTCTTTCGTTTTGGGTTCAGCACCCTTGGCACTCGTGTGATTCCTGGAACCGCCGGAACGTTTACTCAATTTGTTATCGCTTGGGTGATTGGAAGGGTCCTTGCGGTTATTCAACCTGGGAGATCGTCTCGGAGACGGAAACCCACTGTTCAACCTGGGAGATCTTCTCGACCCAACAGCAAAAATTTTTGATTTGAACGAAGGTTTCTTTGTGGAATCGCTCCATTTTGCGGATTTAGGGTCTGTGGTGTTGTGATTTTGTTGGAGGAGGAGTCTGGGTGACCTTCGTAGGATGGTGGATTGGTTGTGGACGATGGAGTTTCTGTTTGGCATTTTCACGAACACTTGATGGGGTCACTTCTACCAAACAAAACAAAATTCGAAGCACCCTTTTTGAGAGGGAAACCCGTTAATTCAAACTTGAATTCAGTTGCTCCATAACACAAAACAGAGTCTCGTTTTGGGTCCTCATGACATGGGCTACAAACCCGTTAAGAGTTATGAGTGCCTTATTCCAAGATCAAAACCCAAATAAAACTATATTTCAAAAACTTGCACAAAATCCTTTCATATTATATAAATACCTACATGTTAATTATAATTTTCAACATTTATTTCTTATTTATCATAAATTATCATATGAATAAAAACATTTACTTTTATAATAATTAATTTAAAAAATATTAATATTAACACTTACAAATTAATTTAAATAATTAACAATAATAAAATTTTATAAAATATTTATCACACTTTTATATTTTAAATGTACTAAATATTTTTTAATAAAAATTTATGAATTTCAAAATATTGAAATTCAGTTCTAATAACAAAATCATTAATTTAAATCAGTAAAAGACATGTTCACCATTTATTTTAATTATTTGGTAGTATAAAAATGTTTACATTAAAATATATTAAAATTAATGTTCAACACTTTTTTTATTTTTTTATTAAATTAAGTATATATTTGAAAATAAGTTAAAAAATATGTGAACATAGCATTTAAAAAAACATGAATTTATATAAGGTATTAAAATATATCATTTGTATTAATTTTACAACTTATTTTGTTCATTTTTAAAATATGTTAAAACAAAATAGATATAACATGTAGTGTTAGATCGATGTATTTATCATTCTAATTGAATTGTGCTGAGTATGCTTAAAGTGTATGAATTATCCATATATATTAGAATGTGAATGTAAAAGTTATATGATTATCGTGTGATGAGCTGCATATATATATATATATATATATATATATATATATTAATGCTGTATTATGATGTTGTCGAGTGTGATGGGCAGAACGATTAGAAATTAGTTGTTAAGTGTGTTTTACAAGAGGTAAGTTAAAGAGTATGATCGAGAACCAATATAATCTCATCCAAGAGAGAGATTGAGAGTTTTTGGTGTAGGGTGTCTCACTCAAGTGAGGGAAACCTTGCTCAAGTGAGAGCAGATAGGATCATCTCAGTTGTCCCCTCGCTCAGGCGAGAAGAGATCTCGCTCAGGCAAGAGGTGACCTGATAAAACTTTTTGGCAAGTGCACCAAATCGTTGAAGTTACAAAGATTATCGTCCACTGGGATAAGTGTTAAGTATCAAACCACAAGAATATTACTAGTTGAGTCAGCAAAAACAGGGTATATATAGTAGTACGAAATTAACATAGCAGAATTGTAAAACTGAAAGTAAAGATGCTGGAATTACAATTAATAAATGGATAAAAGTAAAACTTAATATAGAAAATAATTAACAGGACTGCAGAATGTAAATAACTCAAGTAGAGAAAATAGGTTTTTTTGCAAAGATTAATAAATGAGTTGAGTTTAGAATCCCTTATCCCTTTCTCCTTGCTTAAAATATACTTGTAACTCAAAATATAATCAATCTAATGGTCAGGTTGTCTAAATTATCCAACTCTAATCCCTTGGTAATTGGTTCTAAAACGACTTTTAATCTCCTAATCCCTTAGGTAAACAAAAAACATTCAGCATTAAGGATAAAACTCATATGACCACATTATCATAAATTTCTATTCCTAGACAATTATAATAAGCATTTTAACCCCAGTCCAAGAAAGTCCACAACTTTCCAGCAATAAACTCCTTTTCATCAACCACATTCACGTAGAACAGCGAGGTATTAAGTTTAGAATTAAAAAGTTAGATTAAAGCTTCCATCTTGAGTCACATACAATGCTTAGTTCATTGCAATGGGTAAAGGTATAAGTTCATCTTTACTCAACCCAAAGAGATTTAGCTAGACATTATGAAAGGAAATTAATTAAAACTGAGATATATAGCAGAAACGAAATTCATAATTATAGAAAAGCTTACAACAAAAGGATAGAATGAAAGTGTTACTGTTCTATTACAAAAATCAGAGAAGATGGAAAGGAAATCCAAGTTCCCATAAGAATCCTTCTACCAAGATGTCAAGAAATAGCCCTCGTTTCCTATTCTATGTAAAACTGTATGAAAACCTACAAAACCGTGCTCCAGAATGTTCTAAAAATAAAAGATAAAAGATGTCGTCTTTTCAAAAAAATTTCGCTTCTATATGCATCAGTCAGCATCGTGTCCCCACAAATAAAAGTTCATGTCCCCGCAGAGTGTGTCCTGCAGCACTTAACTTTCGTCCTTTAGCCCAATTGCCACTTTTTGTCTAAATTCTTTTAAAAATTCAATTGCCAACATCAGAATATGAATGATCTATATAAATTTTTCAGTACTTGTAACATACCATTGAATTTTCCAATTAATTGTATTAACTTATGATTTAAATCCAATAAAATATGCCAAAAATCTCTAATTTCCTAGATGAGTTATAAACTCATCACAATCCCAAACTTAAATGTTTGCTTGTCCTCAAGCAAATTCTTTTCTTTTTCATATGAACAGAAATTTTGTATTCTAGCAAATTGTCCCCTTTTTCTCTCTTGTAACAGCAAAATAAATTTTTGAAAATCACAAACATGCATCAATTTTCTTAACACCAAGGATTGAATTAAACTCCCTCTCAGGAAATCTGTTTTCACTCCATTCTCTCAATGTATTAGCTTGTGTTTAGCTCTCTTTAATGCATTTGCTGTTATTCTTTGCTCTAGATTTGGCAAATTTCTAGCTCACATCTATTCATGCAATTAGTTATAATCAAGAGGACTTCATAAGGTTTAACACATGGTCAGGGTTCAGGTGAGACAATATTTTGGCTGCTGGTCATTCCCTATATCAAAGAAAGTATGAGGGACAACTTAGAAAATCTAAGAGTTGGAATACTTGTGTGTACTTCTTCCTTGAGTAATTCAAAAATTATTTTTTTTTTCAATAATGCAAACCCAAATTTCTCTTTTCGATTTGCTTCTTTTCAGCTTTTTTTTTTTTTTTAGATACTTGAGTTTGTTTTCTTTCAATAACATCAGCTGATTACTTAATTTTCCAGATATATATACCACCCTAAACTTGAAAACAAAGCTTGTCCTCAAGCAACCACTAATACAACCCCAAACTTAGAATTTTTAAGTTATCCAAAGAGAAGCTCATACTTTCTAAGTCATATGGAGGAATACCAGTTTTTCTATATGGTTGAGGGTGAAATTATGCAAGAAAGAAAGGAATCAGGCTCAAAGGGTTCAGCAAGGGATAGAGAAGGGTAGGCAATATAGTTAAATGAATGTTCAACAAAAAATGGCCTCAATCACCTTATAACATGAAAGTAATTTAAGATAAAGCAGAAAATTGATAAATCTTGCAAAGAAAATAACAATCACAGTAAGCATGCTCACAGAAATGACAAATAGGCTCAATTGCTAACACAGGAAATTTATGGAATTTAATTCAACATGATGTTCAGCAATGTGCAAATTTTGCTTGTGATGTTTTTAACTGTGTAAACTGTGCAAGAGTGAAAGAGGCATCTACTGAATTTAGTAGGGTTTACAATACAGCAACCAGTTAATAAAATAAAATACATAAGTGAAAGTAAATAAAAAGAAAATGCAGAGGGGGACTCCTCTGAGTGGTGGACCAATCTGAGGCTTGAAACTTGCCTCTGCTCCTTTGTTAAAGCTCCTGGACAGATTTAAAAATAGAGAAAAACAGAGCATTAAATATATAAAAAGACTGAAAATTAACAATTTGTCCATGGGCAGTAAGGTGCCTCGAAAGAAGAAACAAAAGTTCAGACTTTTAAACATGAAAAATAAGATGACAATGAAATAAAGTGAACAATCAAAAGGAACATGAAACAAAAACAACAACAAGGTCAAATTTCTTCATCCTCTACAGCATCTTCATCTTCCATTGGGTTTTCATCATTCAGCAACTGCAGCAGTTTAGCACAGGAGTGGCCCTCTGGTTCCTCATCATTAACTTGTAGATCTTGGGCAATGCGATCTACTTTTGACTCCAGCTGCATCATACCTTGCATAAGAAGTTGGGTTTGTTTAGTTGTGGACTTCTGCAGCTGCTCTTGTGATTTCTGAAGTTTAGCAATGCTGCTAAGAACCAAGTTTAATTATTGCTTGCTTGTCATGGTGGATGAAGAAGAGGCTAGAGCAGTAGGGTTAATGGAAGGTCTTTCTGGTCGCCTGTGGGAGCTCTCAACAAAAGAGGAAAGGGTGACTGCAGTGATCCACTTTGGCTTTTGGACGGAAACATCACTGGGATCAATGGTGACCCCAGCATCTTCACATAATAAAGTGATCAAGGAGGGGTAGGCCAATGAGTTTTGACTATCATCGTCCATAATCTGCCTCATTTCTTGATGGATGACTTTTCCCACATTAATTTATTTCCCTATGACTATACAATACAAGAGCTGTGCACGACGTAGGAGCAGTGTTGTGTCATGCAGGACAAGGATCAAGGAGCCTATCATAAACTGAAACCAGGCCCGAGGTAGAGGTAGCATGTCATCTACCAGTAGACTGCGAGATTCTGGGCCACCTAGTGGTCTCCATTCTGATCCAGGCTTACATATGATTCGAATGATAGCTTCAAAATCAGGTTCCTGCTCTAGGAGAGCAGTGTATTCAACCTTAGGTGGTTCGACAATAATGCGTTTGATTTGTAGCACCCTGTTTATGACCCCTGGTGTAAAAGACACCTTTATTCCTCTGACAATAGTGTGATATGGGGAAAGATTATTCTCAGCTGAAGGGTCTGCTCTTCCATTTGTGTAAAACTCTTAGACCAAAGATTGAAATCCTTTTCCGGTTAATCCACAGAAGTACTCCCAGTTGCACACCTGAATAGCAATCTGGATGGGGTCCACTTCTCCCTCTTCTAGCTTGAAACCACGATCCTCTATAATCTTACGCAGTTT